AAAAAAAAAAAAAAAAAAAATTAAAATTAAATCTGTATTTAGTGTTGATAAGAGTAGAGTCAGAATAATAAGAGTCAGAAGTGATGGACCCCAGTTAAACTGATTTGATCACTACACATTGTACACACATATCAAAATATCACATGTACCCTCTAAATAGGTATACTTATTATATACTGATAAAAAGTTATGTTTATATAAAAGAAGAAAGAGTAAGGAGTCAAGTGGGAATTCTATTTTTTTTTTTTTTAAAAGACAGAATCTTATTTTGTCCCTCTCGGTAGAGTGCCCTGGTGTCTCACAGCAACCTCCAGCTCTTGGGCTTAGGTGATTCTCTTGCCTCATCCTCCCGAGTAGCTGGGACTACCGGTGCCCACCACAATACCTGGCTATTTTTTGTTGTTGTTGTTGCACTTGTGCTGGGGCCAGGTTCAAACCTGTTACCCTTCGCACATAGGGCCGGTGCCCCACTAACTGAGCGACAAGCGCCGGCCGCCCTCAAGTGGGAATTCTTACACAGTGGCTAATGCAGTAAACACTTGATAGGTTAATAGAAACATGGAATATTTTTATAAGTGGAAAATGTTAGAACAATGTTTTTTAACTCATCCTATACTGTTTGAGTTAAAAATTAAAAAGTAGGACTCAGCTCCAGTAGCACAGTGGTTATGGCGCCAGCCACATATACCAAGGCTGGCAGGTTGGAACCTGGCCCGGTCAGCTAAACAACAATGACAACTGCAACAACAACAAAACAATAGCTGGGCGTTATGGGGGGTACCTATACCAGCTACTTGGGAGGCTGAGGCAAGAAAATCAATCACTTAAGCCAAAGAGTTGGAGGTTGCTGTCATGCCAGGGCACTCAACCAAGGGCAACATCGTGAGACTCTTGTCCCCAAAAAAAAAATTAAAAAAAAAACTTCCATGTTAATTAGTTATAATATACCACAAATCCTCATATTTTCTGTTAACTTTTCTACATGCTCAGAACGCCACGCAGCTTCAAAATGAATAGTCCACGCTTGATTTTCATTATTATAAAAATACTAAAAATTTATCAGTGTTATTTTATAACAAAACACAGAATATATTAAAAGATGAACCCAGTAGTGATGGCTAGTAACAAGAACAACTGTAGGAAAAATTGCCTTGATGGATTTCCAGTGGGAGGGTTCAGCTCTGAGTTTACATTAACACTGCTTCCTGTCTCAGGGCCGGTGCTTCTAACATAGGGCTTCCTCCCTGTTGCTGATAAAGGCTTGTTGACAGCACCTAGTACTCCAGCAGGCTTTGGCTAAAAAAAAAAAAAAAAAAAAAAAAAAATCACACATACATGTTATTTTATAACTTACTAAACGAAATACATGTAAATTTAAACAAATAAGAGAGCAACCCTTGATTGTCACCTTGGAAAGTTAAACTTTAAATTTATTAGAAATGACAGTTTATAAAATTGTGTTTGGCTACTTTAATATAATTGAAAGTGCACTTAATAATAACTAGGCAATATTATCCCTTATTAAAAAGATCAAAAAGTGCCGCTAAAATACGATACATAATAAAACATCTTATAAACAAACTACTGAATGTATATAGTAACAGTTTACCCAAAATTAAATTTCCTTTTTCTTTCGGTGTCAGCATATTACTTTTATAAACTATAAACCGTATAACTCATGAGTACTTTGAAATTATCTCTTTATTTATATCTTGTAGTTTGTTAGACCACTTCTCAGTAAAATCCACTCTGTGGATTATAACCTAGCTAAAGCTTATCATTACTGATGAGAAGACACAGTACAATTCAGAAGATTGGTTTATGGCAGAAAAAAGTCTGAGAAAACAGCTGCTTTCAATACTACAAATTTGTAACATGATCCCTGAGAGTTAGGAAATATAAATTCTAGAGGACATTTAAATATTTTATAGAAACAGCAGAAGTAATACATATATAAAATAAAGAACTCCAATTATCAAGAACATGTACCTTTCCTGTTAATAGAAGTACTCTTGTCTCTTCTGAAATGTAACTTTTGTCATTACAAAAGTCCTATTAAATAAAAAAAGTTACAACAATTAAAGTGAACGTGCTTATTTTTATTGTCCCAATACTTTCAAGCTCTGTGCTTTACAACAATAATTACACTGGTGCCAATATATATAAATTCATGCAATAATCAAAACACATTTAATATATCTATCTTTAAATTAAATCAATGGCACATAGTACTTCAGCAAATGTTAGAGGTAAATTTCCAAATCAGATTTTAAATAAAGCTATTTTTTTGTATAGTTCAGTGCAAATAGTCTCTATTCATTAAATTACCCTCACCTCTTCTACTGAATCATAAAATCTACTTTTGGGCTCTCAAAGTATCAAATACGTACCTTATGTACACACCAGACACTATATATATAGTTAAAGGACCTCCATATAGGATCTGAAGAATATCACCCATATTGAAAAATCTCTCGCTTTAATTAAAAATATTTTGTTTAAAACTGTAAGTAGACTGATGGTTCAAATCATAAGATAAAGGTAAATATACCATCAAAATATAATTATGTGATTAGTGTTTTTTGAAAAGTGATATTTACCAGCTAGTAAATGAATTAGAGCAAATGTAGACAATTTCTTTTTCTTTTTTTCCTTTGAAACAGAGTCTCACTATGTCACCCTCATGGTAGAGTGCTGTGGTATCACAGCTCATAGCAACCTCCACACCCTGGGCTTAAGCAATTCTCTTGCCTCAGCCTCCCAAACAGCTGGGACAACAGGTGCCCACCACAACACGACAATTACTTTCTTTAAAGTTTATCTATGTGAAACTTAAGAGTTCAAATCTGAGGCCAGAGGTGGTACTTCATGCTAGGTAATCCTAGCACTCTGAGAGGGTGAGGCAAGAGGATCACTTCAGCTTAGGAGTTTGAGACCAGCCTAAGTAATAGGTTTTCTACTAAAAAATAGTAAAAATTAGCTGGGCATTGGGGCAAGCTATAGTCCTAGCTACTCAGGAGGCTGAGACAGGAGGTTTACTTGAGCTCAGAAATACCAGGTTGCTGTGACTTAGACTGACACCATGGCACTTTAGCCTGGGTGACAGAGTAAGACTCTGTCTCAGAAAAAAGAAATCCAATTAGCTAGAAAATGATACTGAGCTTGGGATATCTGGAAGACTTATTTACATATCAAAATTAATTTGTTGACAGCAGAATAAATGTACCATGTGTATTTTTTTTTTTGGGGGGGGGCAACAGATTCTTACTTTATTGCCCTTAGAGTGACATGGTGTCACAGCTCACAGCAACATCAAACTTTTTTTTTTCCCCAGTTTTTGGCTGGGGCTGCCACTTCCGGTATATGGGGCTGGCATCTTACTCACTGAGCTACAGGCACCACTGCAACTTTAAACTCTTGGGCTTAAGTGATTCTCTTGCCTCAGCCTCCTGAGTAACTAGGACTATAGGTGCCTGCCACAATGCCTGGCTACTTTTAGAGATGGGGTCTTGCTCTGGGTCAGACAGGTCTCAAATTCCTGAGCTCAGGCAATACACCTGCCTCGGCCTCCCAGGGTGCTTAGGATTACAGGTGTGAGCCACTATTATTTTAATAAAATGAGATTAAAGAAATTTTAAAGTCTGAAAACAACTCTTCATAATAGAAACTCCCAGAAGGAACATGCGAATAACAGGCTTGATTTGTTTTCTCCTATTCAAGAGGGAATAATATTATTCAGGCTGTGGAAGACAATCTTCCATTCTTTGATAAGCCCAGAGTTCTTTTTTCCTTTTTTTTTATAGTAGCCTTTTATTTTTTATACTGATTATGACATGAATGCATAAGGAATAAGCTCCAGCAGCTCAGGCTTCTTTCCACTGGCTGTCACAAAGCATGCCATGCCTATTATGTCATGAATTCACAGGGAATACATTCCAGCACCTTATGTATCTTTTCACTGGTTCTTTGTTCTTGTATGTGCTACGCAGTATACCTATTATACCACAAATTCATAGGGAATGGGTTCCAGCAGCCCAGGCTCCTTTCCATCGGTTCTCACAAAGCGCTTTTCTGTGCGGAGCAGGCTGATGCTTTAGTTCAACCCAGGTACACTGCTCTTCAGCTTCCTTCTTCCTCTGACCATTTTCCTTCATGTGCTTCAGGAAGCTATCTTGGCTCTTAGAGTGGTTAATACGCTTGATATGAACGTTAGTCCTCTTGGCAAGAATCTTGCCCTTGTTTATGTACAACAATGCCTGCAACATGCTGCATGTTGGGTAACACTGTGGCTCTTCCAGTTTTGCCATGGTAACATTTGTGTGGCATGCCTTTTTGAATAGTACAAAAGTAATGTCTACAATACCACTTTTCTTGTAGATGTACATGTATGTGGCCTGAGGAATACTCCATGTTTTCTAAAAGGCCAGAGAACATCTATCAGTGCCTTTCCTTTTTCCCTTTGTGTTTATCATTTTGGAGAATTACTGGAAGATGGCGTCTCCAGCTGAAAAGCCACAGTTAGGTATTTATTCTTTATTCAAAACAATCCAATACTAGCCACTAGGGTTGACAGTAATTGAAATTTAAATCAGTTAAATGTGGGAGAAAAATGAGGAAAAGAAATTACCTTTTCAGGTTGTGTAAAAAATTTCATTGGGAGGACTGGGTCTTTTGGTGAATCTGCATTGCATAAAGCACTTTTACTATTTATAACACACAGAGCCACATCACATACTGTATAAAGTTTCTAGGAAGAAAAAAAGAAAGATCATATTTTTCAGTAATGAAAAATAGTCACAACTATCAATTCCAGCAAATGTATAAATTAGACTTAAATAAAACCAGGATATGTGGTTCTTAGTTATTCCTTGAACATTTCATATTTGTGTTCATCACTGATATGTAGTCTCTTGGTCAAGAACAAAAACCCTCTATTTTAACATCAATGCTAAGTATGCTTTAAACATAAACTAAAGAAAGCACACAAAAAGATTATCTACTTCTTATTAAGAAGTACCTAAGATATCACAGTTGTACATTTTATTCTTACCTCCTATTTTGCAGAATTTTTTTTGGGGGGAGACAGAGTCTGATTACGTCACCCTTGGTAGAGTGCCATGGCGTCACAGGTCACAGCAACCTCAAACTCTTGGGCTTAAGCGATTCTCTTGCCTCAGCCTCCCAAGTAGCTAGAACTATAGGTACCTGCCACAACGCCCAACTGTTTTTTGGTTGCAGTTGTCATTGTTATTCAGCAGGCCTGAGCTGGGTTCGAACATGCCAGCCTTGGTGTATGTGGCTGGAGCCCTACCCACTGAGCTATAGGTACTGCCTATACGAAGTTTTAATGTGTTTTTCATAGTATTAATGATCACTGAAATGACATTCACTTGAAATGCAATAACGACTGAGTATAAATATATTTCTTTAAACATTCTGAAATTTAAATGCTTACAAAATGGTCAGGAAAGACAAGTGGGATGACATGGTTTTATCAGCACCCATTGGCCTAACACTCAACTTACTTCGTTTGCCTTTGACTCATCTGGAGACTGGGCATCCCTGGTTAATTTTATATTCTCTGCCATTTTCTTCATAAAGGCATGGCTATTATTTTCATTCTTTGTCATTAAAACTTCAAGCATGAACCACAGGCACCTAAATGGTAAACATGTTAGAGACAACATTAATTACTAATAGAAACTTATTAATCCTATTAATAATATTCAATTCAAATGAAAATTAAATTAAAAAATATATTAAAAATGGAAACGTAGTTTAAGATCAGAAATTCTGACAGTTTCATGAAGCACATAATGACCGACTCTTCTATAGGATTCCATAGAAGTTTAGATGATTTGATGTCTTAGCACTCAGCAATAATAAGCAAACTGACATACACCAGCATCTCAGCTTTCTGCCTATTTGTAAGCTACAGAAAAGCTCTATGCTTGGTACAGAGTTCTGCTGAGATACAATCTGAATTGCATGTATCACGAGGCTGATGTGTAATCAGCCACTCAGCTAAGCAGTCACATCTCAAACCAGTTTTGCCGTTTTTCCACTTGTCACTGTATAGCCATTTAACATATTAAGTTTCTGAAGTGGTAGCTTGAATAAGTAAAAGTGAACCAAATCTGGATGAACATTACACTCACTTGCACTCTATGGAGGGTGACAAAGTGAGACTATCTCAAACAAAAGCAAAAAAGCAACAACAACAAAAAAAATTTTTTTTTCCCCAGAGGCTTAAGTGACCAAAGGTATAAAAAAAAGGAAATAGGGTTAAAACCAGGTGTGATTTTATGCTTTTAATGAAAAAATACAAAATAAATATAATAATTATCTGAGAATCTATGTGCTAGATGATTGTAACAACATTGGGCCCATGCATTCTCTAAGTTTGAGGGATTTTTTTTTGGTGGGATCCTAGCTCACAGCAACCTCAACTCTTGAGCTTAAGTAATACTCCTCCTGCTCAGCCTCCCAAGTAAGCTAAGACTATAAGGATCCGCCACAATACCTGACTATTTTTTAGAGACCAGGTCTCCCTCTTGCTCAGTCTTAAATGCCTGAGCTCAGGCAATCCACCCACTCCCCAGCCTCCCGGAGTGCTAGAATTTATAGGCATGAGCAACTGAGATGGCCTTAAATTTGAAGGATTTTGTTTATGTAAACACCAAAAACATGTTAATAATTTGTTGGATTCAGAATTCTACTGAACTTCTATTAACTTGAAGATTCATTTGTTCTCTTTACACAACTATAGGATTAGAATTACTCTCAGTTTTAGGGGACAAGGTGAGGGTGCTTTCTCATTGCATCTCAGTACGAGACTCATTTCTTTGAAAAATTTGAAGCAAGGTTTTAAATAAATATGTAAAATACTTAAATGTGCTCTGACATAATGCAGAATACTTAAAGCAATGATAAAAGCATGCTAACCTGTGAAAAGAATGTCAATTCAAGGTTAACTTTATGCAAATGTGCTAAGACTATGTATGTGCTACCATTAATAGTAAGAGATTGGTTCAATAAATCTTAGTACTTAAAATACAGATGTTAAGATTACATTTTTTGTGACATTGGACTAAGTTGAAATTTTGGGGCCATTGTTTCCCGCTTCTATCTTGAACAGTGTCCAAGGAACAATCACTAATGTTTATAAACCCTACATAGTACAGATTCCCATAATGCTGTGCTGCTTCTTGTCTTATCCAACAAAGCTAACTCCTCTCATTCCCAAGTCTTTCCACGAATCTCTCTTGCTTTCCACAGAAAACAAACTTTAAGGAATGGCCATCACCTGTTTGCTATAACTGAAATTAAGCCTCCCCTTACCAACAATATTTGCTTTGCACCCTCCTGAAGTTATAGATCCTCATTCCGCTGGAGAGTGGATTCACCCCCTTTTGTCCCCAACGCTGATTCCAGTTATTCTTCTATCTTTGTTTTTCTTTTATTTTCGAGACAGAGCCTCAAGTTGTCCCCCTGGGTAGAGTGCTGTGGCCTCACAG